AAATTTTTACGTTTGTCTGCTATTTCTGTAGTTGTCCTAAAATTTTTCACATGCGTAAAGCCTAAAGTTACTCACTGCCAGGTACAAACTGATTTCTTGCGCACACAACAAAAATGCTTCAATTCTGCCTGTTCTCCAATCTGACATGTATTTTCCTATTCTTAGTTTCACATTTTTCTAACCCTCTTTCAAATTAGTCATTAGTATATTATTGTCTTCTAATCTGTGTATATTTTGATTTACTTATTTAACAATTTCTTTGTTCACCCGCCTATTATTCTTGTATTTCAGTTCCTTCTTCTGGCTTTTTACACTTCTCTTAATTGCCACTTATCAGTACCTTCAAGACTGAGCTATAAGAAGTATACTCTCTTTGTCTTTATTGTCTACCAATGTCTATTTCACTTGCACACTTATAGGAGAGTTAAATTCTATTATGATTGCAATTACTTTTTTTTCACTATGAAACACATTTCTAAATTTTCTTCAGGCTTCTATTGCTTGTGTGAAAACCTGTCAGCCTAATTTTTGTTACTGTGTAAATATTTAGTGTTCCTTTTTTATTGTTGTAAAACTTTTATCATAACTCTCAGTATTTTATATTTTCACTATCATATGTCTGGGTGTGGGTTTGTTTATATTTTTGTGTTCGTTAATTAAATGATGCTTCAATTTTGAAAAATACCACTTCATAGTCTCTTTGAATACTGCTTCTCTCGCTTCTGAAACTATTTTTAAAAATATGTGGTACTTTAATCACAAAATGACAGGGACTCTCACAGCCTCGCTACTGCCTGACTCTCTAACCTCATTCTCCCCGGGCTCTTCAGCCAAGAGTCTTCTTTGAAGGACCTTTAACAGGCTCTGTCCTGAGTGGACTGCTAAAATAACTTCTCTTCTGCCAGCTAACTGCAGCTCATCCCTGAGGAGAGCTTCACCAGCTTTTTTGATGGGGCCTTTCTATGCTCCTCTTGTAATGTCTGCTATTTTTCCTTGGGAGCACTTGGGCCAGTTGCACTTTTACTAGTACAGTTATTTGAGTGTCTAATGAATGCATATCAGGCTCTCTGACTAGATTTCTTGCTCTATGGGGGTGGTACTCATTTGTTTATTCTGTTGGCATTCTGTAGGCACTCAGGAAATAACAGTGCTGAGACTCAAATTATCCAGGAACTATGAAACCAACAGGGACCCAAAGCAGTACTTGCTCATCTCCAAACATCAGCTTCAGTTCCCCCATAGCATTCCAGCTATCTCTCCTTAGCTGCAGACATTTAATACAATAAAAGGCTTAGGGTAGATAACCTCTCTAAATTATATATTACACAGCACCCATGAGTTCCACATTCTTTAAGTGGCCTCCCGCTTTAATTTCTATGCTCTCTAGGCTAGAGCTGGAGGGTGTGTCACTAACTCTGTGAATACTTTATGGCTAAACCCCCTTCCCCCCCACACACACACCTTTTTAAATTATGGAATAATTGAGCACTTTTTAAAAGTAACAGCACTTCAAAAATAAAAAAAGGTAAGAATTTGTTTTGCTCATACTTGAATTAAATAAATAACCCTCACCCAGCCAGAGTAGCTCGGTTGGTTGATTGTTATCCTGCGAACCTAAGGGTTGCCGGTTCAATTCCTGGTTGGGCCACATACTCAGGTTGGGGGTCCAATCCCCGGTTGGGACATGTGTTTCTCTCTCTCTTTCTCTCCTTCCTTCCTTCCCACCCTTCTTCTACCAAGCATGTCCTCGGTGAGGTTTAAAAAAAAAAGGAGACTAACTCTCCAGACATTTACTTAAGTATTTGTTGAACCCCAGTTGAGTGCCATTCATTACATTAGGCCTTTAGGATGCCATAGTAAAAATAAACAAGGTCCCTGATCTCACTGAGATTATAGTCTAGAGAAGAAACATTATTCCAATACTCATACTACTATGAACCTACAATAAAAAAATACGTGAATGCTTAGAATCAAATATGATTCCCTGTGAATATTTAGTAAATTAACTTGGGGAAATTTCAGTAGGATGGAGGTTTACTTCATGAGTGACTACTGAGCTAAGATTTTTAAAATGAGTAGGAGTTAATAAGACAAAGAGGAGAGGTCAACATTTCAGAAGAAAAATTAGTATCTGCAAATGTCCTGTGGCAGGAAGCAGCCTGGCAACTATGAGAGTCTAAAACAGCGGTTCTCAACCTGTGGGTCGTGACCCCTTTGGGGGGTCAAACGACCCTTTCACAGAGGTCGCCTAAGACCATCAGAAAACACATATATAATTACATATTTTTTTCTGATTAATCACTATGCTTTAATCATGTTCAATTTGTAACAATGAAAATACATCCTGCATATCAGATATTTACATTACGATTCAAAAGAGTAGCAAAATTACAGTTATGAAGTAGCAACGAAAATAATTTTATGGTTGGAGGTCACCACAACATGAGGAACTGTATTAAAGGGTCGCTGCATTAGGAAGGTTGAGAACCACTGGTCTAAAAGAAGACCAGAGAGATTAGAGAACAGAAAGGAAAAGGTAAACTTATCAGAGTTAAGGATATGGAGTTATTTAGGAGTGAAAGACAGAGATGTTGCTGGCTTATATGGGCTAAATAGGTCCAGTTGTTATATTTTTAGAAATTTTGTGAGCCATCTATTAAATGATCATTATTGAAAACAAAGGTAGGTATATAAACTTGTTAAATAAATTACATTAAAAATAAAGGTTTTCAGATTATGCTTTTCTAAATTTATCTTTATTGTTGAAAGTATTACAGTTGTCCCCCATTGACCCCTTCCACCACACTCCCACCCCCTCCGCAGGCCTTCACCACACTATTTCTAATTATTCTTAATCATTTATAATGATTTCACTACATTTTACTATTATTTGTACTCCTGAGCTTATTTATATCTATTCTGTTGGCATGGTGGAAACACTTCGTAACGATGTGTTACTGAACATTTCTTTCCAACTTCACAGTCGATGAAATTGACCCTCATGGATGTTTACACTCTGAAAACTGGCAAACTGTTCAAATCAGGATCCCCTTGAGCCCTAAAGATCCATTGTTAAACACCAGCACAGCACTGAGTATGACTATATAGGACCTTGGAGATCATGTTAAGAATTGATCTTTATCGTAGGAGAAGTGAACAGGCATGAAAGATTCTAAGCAGGAGGTTGGCAAGAGCACACACTTCTATTTTTAAAAGATCACTGAGACTAGAGAAATGAAAGAGGAAGCAAGGTGACTCTGGGTGGCCTGGATGGTAAGTAATGGTGCCTCAGACTAGGATCAAAGAAATGAAAATACAAGTGAATGGATTTAAGGTATATTGAGGGGTTAAAATAGAAGGATGAGCTCGGGTGGTATTAGTACGAACCAGACAAGAAGAAGAAGTAAAATCTCTATAGTGTCCCTAATTTCTAGTTGGTTGTGATGTTTTCATTTTGAGCCCAATCCTGCCACCATGTGTCAAAGAGCCAACTTCACAGTTGAACAAACTGGGCCTGATTAAGAGAAAAGGAAAAAAAAAACAAACAAAAAAACAACAACAAAGAAAACCTACCAATACAAATATGTGAATTGTACAAAAATAAATTATTTGTCATGTAATTCACAACTTGTCCATTTTCATATACTAGTATGCGTAATAGTATATTCATGAGAATGGCCTCCAAGATCCCTGACTATAAGGAGTGGGAATGACTGAGGGCCCAGCTGCCGTTCTCTGAAGTCCAGCATTTGAGTCAAGGTCATCCTCCCACAAGCTGCCCCAGGCAGTGACTGAACTGGACAGAGACCCTAAGGCAAGCCTGTCATGGGAGATGCTAGATTCCTTTGATGGGCAGCTTTAACTCCATGACTCCCCAATGCCCTTAGGAAATCTTTCCTTAAAACTGTCTAACATGCTTCCACCCAGTTTTCCTGTCTTCAGAATTACTCTCCTTTACTCGGGGTAGGGCCTATATTTTGGTCTGATGGTTCTGACAAACTTATTTGATTCCCTGCCTCTGCCTGTGTCTGTGGCAGGTTTTGAGTGGTGATTGTGACGTGGGTCTCTCCCCAAGTGATAACAGGCATCTGTGAATTCTGTGTCCAAGAGAATTTTCTGGCCCCTTCCCCTACCCTGTCCTAGAGGAAGGTTTTCATTGTCTGTGTCTTAGAGGTTAGAGGGTTGTTTTTGTTTTGTTTTGTTTTGTTTTTATCATTTCTCTACTTCTTAAAGCTTTAGTTTTGTAAAGAAAGGGGTCTGGGATATGGGTGGGGTTTTGAGCCTGTTTACCTAGGAGGGACTCTTTCCAGTGTCTTCCCCTGCCCTCAGTCTCCCAGGTGAGAGGCACATGAAAAAGGGACATGAGTGAGGAAAGTTGCCTTGTCTGACATGACAGCACACACTCTGCCTTTAATCACTCATTAACATAGCTGTTTTTTTACTCACTTTGGTGGAGGCTGCCTCTTTTCCTGTGATTTGCCAAAGGTGAGACAATCTTTGTGTCCTATCTATCCTAAGGGAGCTTGAAACTCCTTGCAGTTCTGTTCATTCCGTTATTTTGTGATCCTAGTTCTCTGATGGTCTAGTAAAGTTATGATTTTGAAAATTGTCTGGCTTTTTCTCATTTTTAGCATGAGATTAATGTTCTCCCGTAGATTTCTATCTGCTAAGCAAATCTCCTCCTCTTGTTTTTAAAAATCAGGACTGTTTCTGCATCAGGATTTTATCTTCGGTGGGTATAGCAGAGTTAGGGATAAAACGTATGCATAAACAGTGTGTTATATTCTAGGCATGTGAAATCATGATGTTATCAGTTGCCACTCTTATGGCAGCTATTCTGTAAATTCATTGAATGAAAACATTGTGCGGTAATGGAATACACAATTCAACATTAGTCAAGGCTCCCATAGCGGATCACAGCTAGCCGGGAAGACATTGTTTCTAATATATTTTGCTTTGGGGTCCTTTTTCAACACAGTTCCCTTGTCCTTTCCAACCAGGTGGTTGACCAGATTGATACCCTGACCTCTGACCTACAGCTGGAGGATGAGATGACCGACAGCTCCAAAACGGACACCCTGAATAGTAGCTCAAGCAGCACGACAGCCTCCAGCCTAGAGAAGATCAAAGTGCAGGCCAATGCACCACTCATTAAACCCCCAGCACACCCATCTGCTATCCTCACGGTCCTGAGAAAGCCAAACCCTCCACCGCCTCCACCGAGGTTGACACCCGTGAAGAGTGAAGACCCCCAAAGGGTGGCGCCCGCTGTCAATCCTGTAAAGACCAATGGCACCCTTCTGCGGAATGGTGGCTTACCAGGAGCACCAAACAAAATCCCCAATGGAGACATCTGCTGCACACCCGGTAGCAACTCGGACAAGGCGCCCGTGCAGCCTCTGATGCATAGACCTGAAAAAGACAGGTGTCCCCAGGCAGGGCCTCGGGAAAGGGTTCGGTTTAATGAAAAAGTGCAGTACCATGGCTATTGTCCTGACTGTGAGACCCGGTATAACATAAAAAACCGGGAGGTCCATTTGCACAGTGAACCTGTCCAGCCGCCAGGAAAGCTTCCTCCCCAAGGCCCTCCCCGCCCTCCTCCACCGCATCTCCCTCCATTTCCACTGGAAAATGGGGGACCCGGAATAAGCCACAGTAACAGCTACCCCCCTCTCAGACCTGCAACTGTGCCTCCTCCCACTGCACCAAAACCACAGAAGACGATCTTGAGGAAATCAACCACTACAACAGTGTGATGTATGCCATTTAAAAACACTTTTTATTTTATTTTCATTTTTATATTATAAACATAATAAGTAATGAGCACTTTCTACTCAAGCAATAAAAAGCCCAAATATATTAATCCTGCATTCAGCAAAGTGGCATAAAAATCACCTGGTAAGTATGCAGTACATTGTTATATCCTGGGTATACACTGTTTAAAAAGTTGCATTATCAGAAACCACAGAATAATGAAAAAGCTGAATATATTTTTTCAATTGACCTGTAACAGTGGCTTCTAGTTTCAAATCATTTGATTTACTATAAGAGATGGGATTAGATTTATTTTATTCATGTGTAACTTATCTATATTAATAACATCATACTATTAATTTTGACCTAATACTTTTTAATAAGAAATTTTAATACTGAAGGACCATTTTACTCTTTTTTTCTAAAGATGTTTGTTACTAGTTTTGCATTATTAAATTCTGAGGACAATGCCAAAAAGTTTATTTTCTATACTACACAGATTATTATGACCACCCCATCAGTACAATGAAGTGAATTAGTTATGCAAATAATAATAGTAATAAAACCTTGAGAGTATTTGCTTAGGAAGTTTTCAATATTCAGTATTTTTGGAAGTGTCAATGAAGTACTGATGGGGTGGTCATAATAATCTGGCTGGTTATAATAATCTGGCCACTCAGTGTAAACAATTAGAATTAACAATTAGAATTCAACTGTATAGGTAATGAAAGATTTGGTGTGTGGAAATATCATGCCAATAGACAGTAGGTAATAGCAAAACCAAATGTTTCGTGGAATAAAAATGAAGCAGTGGTGCGGTTAATCCCCTGTTAATACTCATCAAATTGGGTAGTAACACAGACAGAGTTTGAATGGAGAAGATCACAGTGAGATTTTTCTAAATTAAATATCATAATCAAGTCATAAATATAACTTTACACTTTTTCATATTATATTATATTATATATTTTGGTACCTCAAGGACCTTCTATTGAATGCCTCCTACACTGCCAACCCCTTCCACTCTTCTCACGCCCACATTTTTCCAGGACACAACTTAATCCAGTACATGGAAGTGGTGGGACGACTTGCCTCCTGTATCAGCAAGTTCTCTGCCTCCCTGAGGGAATTCCATTGATAGAAGAACTATAGGGAAAAGTAAAGATGCTTCTAGAACCGGATGTTTTTAGCATTCGCCTTAAGCTGATTCCCTTGAAATATGCCAGGGTCTTTGTTATTCAGTAGAAGGAAGAGAAAAATTCCTTTGCTTCTAACAGCCAATAAAGGTGTGTTTTGTTTTAATTTAGTCTAATTTACTACCTTAGGTCACTTATCACCCATGGACCAAGTTTACTTCCCTACTATTATGATTTGAACTTAATTGATATTTGGCCCTGGAACTAGAAATGACTTTATTTCCCCTAAAATCATGATGACAGGTGCATATCTGAACAATATTTGTCAATTAAGTGGGAAGAGTAGAGGAAGTCATCTTTAATGAAAATTTGTTTATTGCACAACTTAATGAAGAGTACTGTGATTTTTTTGACTAGTTCACTTTTGATCTTTAAACTTTAATTTTTGTTGCTACAGAGAAAGAGTATTCAGTTATATTTCCTTGTTGCCTTTTTCAAGTTATATCATGGTAATTTGGAATACTATTTTTCAAATAACTTTCTATTAAAAGATGATATAATGTTTTAGGCAGAATGACAGAAAGATAATAGGCTTTATTTTTTAAAGAAACAATTGAATGAAAACAAAGAGGACACTCAGAATGATTTTCGTTCTGTGTTTGTGGACATGAAGGTAATGTAAGTAGAATAAATGTAATTTTTCATAAAGTTACAAAACATAAGACCAATAATCAAGAAAGGCCATAATCAAAATTTATTAAATTTATGATCAGTATGTTTAATAAATATGAGTCAGGTAAACAAATAATTGATTTATTGAATAGCAAAATAATAAATTCTTAACTTTTTAATGCACCCATTTAGCTTGATAGAAATAAACCCAAGGTTTTATTATCTTTCTATATTTAAATAATATTTTCAAATGTTCATCCAGTGTTAGACCTTTTGGTCTTAGAAGACATCTTTCTTCCACAGCCTATTACTGAGACCCAATAATTAACTTATAATTTCAGACATTGACTCCCTGTCGATATCTGGGAACCAATCTGAATCTCAAAATAGAGCTTCTTATCAATCACAAATCATCCACAGAGTAGATAACTTATTTGCAATAAATCGAGTTGAATAAGTTGAATAATTCGAGCTGGTTGAGTATGAATATTGAGCCAAAAACCTAAACACAACCTCTGAGGTTTAAATCCATCTCTCTGCCTCAAAGTGCAGACAAAGCTACCCCATGAAAGACCATTGTTTAAAATATGATTAGTGACATATGCCCAAACTACAAGGTCTGTTTTTATTTAATACATTTATAAGCAACTATTGGCCTGGAAAGCTGAGTTAAATCCCAAGCTAAAAAAAAAGTTATAGTTATTGACCTTCTTCTCTTATAGTTAATCACATAATCAAGAGTGTTAGTACAGCAGTGTTAAGACTTTCTTTTGACTTTATTTGCTCTATATGCTCCCCTTTTTTCCATTAATATATGGAATATATGAGGCCAATAAGGTATTTTTTGTTTGTTTGTTTGTTTTACTGATGATTTGGTAATATTCACTGAAACTTAGTTATTTCATATGTATATATACCATATTTATATATTTGTAAAACATAGAAAGCAATTAACACAGAGCATCATAATATTTGTGTGGAATCTTGTGATTGAAGTGTAAGGGACTGCAGTTTTTGCTATCAGCCAACATTGCTTTCAGAATTTAAATTTTGAACTGCAAGCTCTGTGTATCATCCATTAAATTATCATAACACATGGTGTATCTTTCCTATTCCTGAAGATTCCAAAGTAGAAATGCTTTTCTCACATCATTAATGGGAAGTTATTTTTTACAATATGCATTTAAACACTTTAAATCGCTTAATCCATACAAAGGACTATGGACTAACCTCCATAATCCTTTGAAAGGGATGTTTCTGCAAAATATAAAATGGTAATACTGCTTATGACAAAATCAATTCTTAATGAAAGGCAGAATATATACTTTAAAAATGTAGCATAGCATTCATTAATTAAATTGGAATAGGAAAGGTTTTTGTCTTGTTAATTTAAACAAAGATTATCTCACTTCTGTGATGGGAGGTTGTTGTGTCCCTGCTGATGAAAGGTAAAAAGAAAATAAAAATTGACCAAAGTTCTCTTTCATCTCTTGGTAGTTATAGCAGTTATAAAAAGAAACAAAACTGATATTTTTAGGTCATGCTTAAGCTAAATATAAAATCTGCTCAAAAATACAGGGCATACAAAAAAGAGAAATTTCCCATTTCTTTCAATATGATATAATTATATTCATACCTCCCCTCATTAGTTTAATAATATTCTAGAAAAAATGAGTCTATTAACTGAAATGGTTTCATTAACATAAAATTCTTGTCTTTGAATTATGCCTGCATATAATTACTTAATGAATAAAGAAATAAGGCACTGCATTATATGGCTTTTTTTGGACAAATCAGTAGTTAAGTTGCTTATGGCAGCTACACAGTCTCTGAAACTATGCAAGACCTATTACCTGTAGGTTCTAATTATAGCTCTTTGTGGATCCTCTATGAAGAAGAGCCCGAGTGGTTCCACTTGGAATTGCACCGGGAATGGTGTAGTCAAGTCATAAATCACTGCCTTAACTGAATTGCTTTCCAGGGAATAAATGCAAAAAAATGCAATGTCAAGCCTTGTAATTGTCCTGATTCAGTTTCTTTCTCTCGACTTTGTTAGTTGTACATCTTACTATAATATGCACTCAAATTTGTAGCAAAAGATTGCATTGCAATGTACTTCAGTGATTTCTAAGTGAGGGAGTGATTTATGAGCAATAAATATTCATATCACGTAATTGGGTAAAATATACAGACTCTGATGATTAATAGACACTATCAGAAAATCACGCGATGTTTTTTGGGTCAATTTGACACTATGTTTGAATTTTTAGCCTAAATATTTTGGAGTTTTAGAATCATTCAAGTTTTCTGATTCTGAAGTAATGACAGTTTTGATGCTACTTTGAAGGCACACAGCAGTGTTGAACATAAAACTGCAGTTAACCATATCTTAGTGGAATCGCAATTATGTAGGCTGTCATTTTATTGGACATTCTTGGATTTATCATTCTGATCTTTTGGGGGAAAACTAAAGTGGAACATACAGAAGATTTGCGTATAAACCCACTTTAAAATGTTAGTAAATCAACAAAGGGTATAGAGTTGGTTGAAGGCCAAAGTAAAATAAGGAGGACATATTGCTTATAATTTATAACTTCTAGAGTTATCAAAAATAGGTAAGCTAATAGTAACTGCTTTATAAAACTTTACATACATTAGAGTTTCATATGAATGTATGAAATAGTTATTATCCTTATTTACAAGTGAAGAAATTTAGGATCTCAGTTTCAGTATTTTATTAAAATCAACCCTTTAAAGTGATTTGGATAGTATTTTAGTGACAGCCTGACTTCCCACAATTTTCCCCCACAACATCACCATTTAATTGTGTTCTTCATAGCACTGAACTTTGCAAAATTTTTCCTTTATTCTTAGAAGTTATTTTGACGCTTGAAGGGGGTTACTTAATGTTGTTTTGACATTCTTAATATGTTTGATCTTTGCAGAATATGAAAGTGATCTCAGGCAATTTAGCTACCACATAAAATGAATGAGCTGCTGAATAATGAAAGCCTCATTTTTCTCATGTATTATAAGCGGCTTCACCTTTCAGTTTTTTTCCCACTGAGTTCAAAGACTGTTGATTATGTTGGTTTCTTTCCCTAAGAAGTTCTGATTTCATTGTTTTAATGCTATTTGACCCTGAATATGTCACTTCCATTACTGGTATTTCATTTTTGAATTTCATCTACTTAACATTGACCCCTACAGTTTTAAGAAAAGCAATAGATCCACTCCATGGAACCACTAAAAAGCAGTGCATTAGAGATGTCACTAATAAAATAATTTCCATTCTTTTGTTACTAGACTATAGATATCATTTTCCATGATTTGATC